CCCCAAATTGCCCAAAACTCCCCAAATTTGCCCCGAATTCCGGCAGAGTCGCGCAGCGAGAAGGCGAAGCGGCTCTTCCGCCACTACACCGTGGGCTCCTACGACAGCTTCGACGCGCCCAGGTGAGACCCAAAATATCCCAAAAATCCCCAAAAAATCCCAAAATCCCAAAATTCCCAAAATTCCCTCTCGGGAGCACAAAAAAACCCCAAAAAAATCCCAAAAAAAAAGCCCCGAAAAAGCCCCGAAAATCCCAAATTATTGCCACGAATTTCAACCCCTGAGACCCAAAATATCCCAAAAAAAACCCCCAAAATTCCCACAAATCCCAAATTTCCCTCTTGGGACCCCAAAAAATCCCAAAAAATTCCCCAAAAAAAGCCCCTCAAAACCCCAAATTATTGCCCCAAACTCCAACCCCTAAGACCCCAAAAAAACCCCAAAAAACCCAAAATTTCCTCTTAAAAACCCCAAATTTCCCCAAAATCCTCCCAAATTCCCCCAAATCCCCAGAATTTTCCCCCAATCCCCCAAAATCTTCCCAAAATCACATAAATCCTCCCAAAATCATCCAAAATTCCTCCAAAATCCTCCAAAATCTCCCCAAAATTCCCCAAATCATCCTCAAATCCCCCAAAATGCCAAAAAATTCCCCAAATTCCTCCCAAAATCCTCCCAAATTTTCTCCAAATCTCCCCAAAATTCCCCAAATCCTCCTCAAAGCCCCCAAATTCCTCCCAAATTCCCTCAAAATCACCCAAAAATCCCCCGAATTCTTCCTAAATCCTCCCAAAATCACCCAAATTTCCTCAAATCCTCCCAAAATTTTCTGAAATCTCCCCAAATCCCCCCAAAATCCCCCAAATATCTCCAAATCCCCCCAAAATCTCCAAATTCCTCCTGAAACCCCCAAAATTCTCCCTAAATCCCCCTAAATTCCCCAAAATCCTCCCAAAATTCTCCAAAATTTCCCAAAAATCCCCCAAATCCTCCCAAATACCCCAAATTCCACCAAAATCCCCCCAAATCTCCCAAAAATCCCAAATCTCCTCAAATTCCTCCTAAATCCGCCAAATCCCCTAAAATCTCCCAAAAATCCCCCCAAATCCCCCAAATTTTTCCCAAATTTGCCCCAAAATTTCCCCAAATTTCCCCAATTTTCCCTGAAATTCCCCAAAAATCCCCCAAATTTGCCCCAAAATTCCCCCAAAATCCCCAATTTTCCCTGAAATTCCCAACAAATTCCCC